GGAGGCGTGGTGCCAGGAGGAGTAGTCCCTGGAGGGTTAGTACTTGGAGGCGTAGTACCAGGAGGGGTTGTACCAGGAGGATTGGTCCAAGGAGGATTGGTCGGTGGCGGTGATGGGATGGGTGTTCCAAGATTGAGCAGTGCGAAAAGATTCACAAAAAGGTTCTCTTCCGGTCCAGTGACATCTTGACCACCGCAGCGTTCGTCGGGATTGTTATAGCAGGCCTGATTACAATTGTTCTGGTCTGCGGCAGGCACTGTCGGTGGCGTGCTGCTGCAGTAACACGTATTGTACTGGGTAAAAGCCCACTCGTATCCTTGGCCCAGAGAGACGCAGGCTCCTATGCACACGGTAGCGCCATTAGATCCCACAGAGAGATCTGCGCCGACAAGCACGTCACCATAAAGGTAAGTTTCCCCTATGGCGGAACCGGCCTCAAAACAGCCAAAAATGTACGAACCGTCAGGTCCGGTTGGACCGCTTTCGTTGGTGTCAGGGACTGGGGGGGCGGTTAAGGGTACTGGCGGTGCGAGCTCGAAGAGCGTGATCAAGAGGTCGTTACTGGTAGCTTGGCGTCTGAGCAGGCCTTCACCTTGCGAAATTGCACCACCGCAGGACTGAGTAGGCTTGCCAGGACATTCGTTGGCACAAAGACCGATACCAGCTTCTTTGCTGGGACCGGGAGGAGTGTTAGTAACGTAGCAGGTGCTGCCCTGCAGACCCAGATATCTGAGTCCTTGCTCACTGGCAGCTTTGGAGCAAGCCTCGATATCTGTGTTTTCGAGGACAAGACCAGCGGTCTCAGCATCTGCGATGAATCCGCTCGCAAGAAAGCATCCGCCATATTTGAACGTGTTTGCCGCGGGACCCGTGGGTAGAGGTATCGCATTGTTCGGAGCAATGATTCTCCTAAAGACAGAGTATGCGTTGGTTGCAGGGTTGCCGCAGGTGAGAGCCGTGGAAGCACTACAGGGGGTGTTGCATTTTGTCGAACCAGCAGCTGGGGGAGGACGCGTGACACTGCAGCTGCAAGAATCGCCAATTACAAAAGAATAGTCCGCACCTCGAGCGGCGCACACGCCGATACAAATCTGAGGGCTCATGCCAAGGGTGATCGAGGATGTAGCCACCGCTGTTAGGGTATTGCTAAAGGAGTCGCTGGACCTGAAGCATCCGTAGTCTTGCCAACCGCGGACGTTGGGATCATTAGGAGAGGTGTGTTGCGCAGCATTGGTCAAAAGCTTTGCGACTAGAGAAGGGGCAGTTGTTAGGAGACCAATGTCGGAAGGGGATACTAGATCGGTCACGGGAATCTGTGGGACTAATGCGGGAGGTGGTGGCCCGAACGGAGGTGGTGGCTCGAACGGAGGTGGTGGCTCGAACGGAGGTGGAGGGGGTCCAGGGATAAATACTGGTGGACCAGGAGGGCTCTGTTCTGAGGTTTCAGGATTGCCGCCTGGAATCGGAATGAGAGGCAGCCCTGAGAAGGGATTGAACGGGATGCCGGTGTTTGGATTGATCGGAAAGCCCGATTCGCGATCAATGAGGAGCGGAACTCCACTCAGCCCATCATAAAGTCTGCCGTCGAATGGTGACCTGGGAAATCGGCTGATGGGGTCGATTGGAAAGTACAAGCTCTTGTCCAGCGGCAAGAGACTGCCATTCGACGGGTCGTAAAACTGACCAAGTGAATCTGTCAAGAAATTTGTCACTGGATCGAGAGCAAGACCGTCAGGAGTGGACGGGGTGCTGGGGGTTCCCACGCCAGGTACAGTGACTGGTGGGGGCGGTGCAGTAGTTGGCGGTGCGTCAGGAACTTGAATAACAGGTAGCCCTGTCGAGGTGTCGATGGGCAGATTGTTGAAAGGCGAGATCGGAAAACCAGACGAGGCATCGATCGGCAACTGGGCACCGGTCTGCGGATTGTAGTAAGTATTAGTCGCAGGATCCTTCAAAAACTTGGTGACCGGGTCCAATGTTGCCCAAAGCGGTGCCTGGTTCGGCAAGGTGGGGTTGCCAGTCGACTCGGGTAGTTGAGGCTGACCAGGAAGTCCAATAGGATTTGTAGCGGGCTGCGGCAACTGAGGTGTCGCTGGGCCGGGGTTGGAAACATCTGGAGCTGTGGGGAAAGAGACTTCCCCATTGGTCGGGTTGATCAAGAGTCCAGAAAGCGGGTCTTTGAGCAGACCTGTAACAGGATCGAGTGGAATTTGAGCGCCAGTCTGCGGATCGAAGTACCCACCGCTTTTTGGATCTCTAAGGAGGCCAGTAATTGTGTCAAGAACTGAGCCAGCCGGGACTCCCGGTAGTTGCGGCAGATCCGGTACCTCCACAGTGGGCATTTCGGGTAATTGCGGCACGTTGGGCACTTCCACAGGAGGCACTCCAAGGTCAGGTGCTTGCGGTAGGTCTGGTAGCTGAACAGGAGGCACTCCAAGGTCAGGTGTTTGCGATAGGTCGGGCAC